TAACAGGAAAATGTTTGCTTTCATTCCTGCATCATTTAGTTCAATATTCTAAAAATTAAACCATTACCATAATTGTAAACACTAATGCTATGTTTGGTGACATAAGTAAGAATACAAGGAAAAACTTAACTATTTCATGAGTTGTTAAAATAGTTTGTCATAACATGGAGAAGAATTAGTACAAATCTAAACTCGAAATTGGAAAGATGAGTAAAAGGAAAGATCAAATGTACCTCCATCACACAACGTTGATACCTCAAATTAACAAATCAGACACCTTCAAAAGAAACAATATGTTGTTCTTTATTTGCTACAGCTCTAGAAAACTATAGGAGACCTAATATTCAATACTTGAAAAAGAACATCTCACATTCATTTGAATTCCAGTTTTCAGTAATTACCTCGGAAAGGGCTCATACGGTTCCAAATTCTCAAACAATTTAATAAAGCACGGCAATGAAGAAATCACAAAATAGCATAAAAACCATAAAATATCTTGAATTTAGATTCCAACACACCCTAATAACATTGGGTACGACGGCGGTTGACGAACGGAAGAGTACGACGGCGGCGAGATGCTACGCTAATGGTGGATTTTGGGCTATGGTGGTTGTGCGGGGCTATGGTTTGGAGATTTAGGTAAAATGAGAGCTGAATGAACGAGATGCTATACTGATGGTCGAGGCTTGCGTGTTGCGTTTTGGGTAAAGCAGAAGGTAAGAACAAAAGTTCCCAAAACACAGCGTTTTGAATGGATCAAGACGACCTTTAGCGGCGTTTTTTAAAAATGCCACAAAAGTACGTGTAATTAGTGGCGTTTGTGCTTGCAACACCACTAAAGTACAGTATTTCTCGGCGTTTATATAAAATGCAACTAGAGTACGTGTAATTAGCGGTGTTTGTGTATAAAACGCCACTAAAGAACATGTAATTAGCAGTGTTTGTGCTTAAAACGCCACTAAAGTACGACCTTTAGCGGCGTTTGTATAAAAATGCCACTAAAGTACAGTATTTCTTGGCGTTTATATAAAAACGCCACTATAGTGCGTGTAATTAGCAACGTTTATGCGTAAAAAGCCACTAAAGTACGTTTAATTAGCGGCGTTAGTGCTTAAAATGCCACTAAAGTACATTATTTTCCGGCGTTTTCTCATAAAACGCCGCTAAATATGCCGCTAAAACCCTATTTTTTCTATAGTATGTCATCGAACTCATAGGAGAAGTATTTGGAGACATGGTTTCAGAACCTCGAATCGAATATGAAGTTAGATCAACTATAACGAGCAAGAAGCGAACTAGCAGCGGAAGAAACAACCACCAGGATTGGCTCTGATACCATGTCAAGGTTCATTAACACAACTTAATGAACAAGAGAAGAGATATGAGAGAAGAAGCTCTCAAAACCTTATTGATGAATCAAATTCAAGAAGATGTATATCTAGTTACAACAAAGCTTACTTATAGCTTTATGAGCATACACAACTGAATTGAAAACAGAAGCATAACAACTTCATAACAGAAACTCAACTACCTATCACTAACTAACTCATAACCACTTGAAAACTCATAGAAACCTATTACATTCACCCATCTTCTGCACTTCTATAACGCCAACATTTCTCACCTCTAAATTCGCTCTGCATTGCCATTTTCCTTCAAAAAAAATCATAGTCTTACTATATAACATCCTTAATTCCTCTGAAACCATATATTTTACTTTTGGTGTATCTTTTCTGTCTTTGTTTAAACAAATACTAAAGTATGAGGACTAACTCAAATTTGAATAAAGGGATAAAACCATAATTTGACCCGAAATAGAGAAAAACAGTAGAAGTAGCAGAGAGAAAAGTAGTTTTGGTTATCACCGCATGGTCAAGTGGTGCCAACTTAGTTGTCTAAATGTGACACATCGAATTTCTGTGACTCTGAAATCGAACATAAACGATGGAGTGATTGATTTATTACAAAATGATAATATTGATAACAATTTTAGTATTTTTGAAACTTTATTATTAAAATAAAAAATTTACACATACTTTAGTGACTATTTATGTAGTTTAACACAATATATATATATATACACACAATAAACACGTAGTCATATTTATGTAGGATTTAGGAAGGTGGTACTTTTTCATAGCGAAGCCAGGTAAACACAGACTCAGAGTTCTGCGCTTTGCTCACATTTTCAAAGTCCAAGTTGTTTCACTACACACTTAGCCTACCGTGCCCCGCGAATTCAACGCATTTCATTATCATCACTTAAGATAAATATGACGCTATGGAAAACATATTCATGACCGTAATTTAAATCTCAATACTTTTTCAGACTTGGGGTCTTCAACTGATGTGAATTTTCCCTGCTCTGCAGAAATTACAGTGGTTTGGGTCAGTATTCCGGTGAACAAATACTGCTAGCGGTCTGAATGGAAAATTTGGGTCAATGTAACAAGATACACTTGAAGTGACTATTTTGTAAAAGTAGAAAACATCTCGAAGATGTGTGTACATAGAAAAAATACGTGTGAGAAGGTGAACATTCTCGGTTTGGTTCAACTTCCACTATCATCAAGACCATTTATTTGGTAGCTCAAAACTTAGGTTGATAATCAATGTGTAAAGGGATAGTTGGTCAAGCCTAAAGGAATGGATTGGTTTAGCATTAATAATTACGCAAATTTCGGGGCATCTCTCGGGAGCCACACGTAGCCAAAAAAAATTATGGATAAGGATTTAATAACTTGCGATTCAATTCAAGAGGCTGCTATATTTAACCATGCATCAATGTTGTTTCAGTGAAGCACCAATGCCGTATAACATAAGTACACTACTTAGTCACAACGAATTATTACTTCATTCTTCTCTGACTGCGATGCTTTGTTTTTTCAAATAAGGGATACTATTTAATGTGACTATATTATGGGGCTGTAAAGCTAAGGTGTTAAGGATTACAGATGTGTATAATTTTCGTGGATTTTACATTGTATTTGTTCCAATTGAGATGGAAATGTGTGTAAGTTTAATTGATAATAGGCGGGTGTAGATGTAAAAAGTCATACATGTTGTGAGTAATGGGTAGGTAATGGGTTTGAGATCTTACTCGCCCGGCATCCACCCGCTCACTAACTATCCACCATATAAATTTTGGATTATTATGAATTTATGTATAATTTCAGAGACTATTATGTAAATTTTAAGATTTTATACATGAATTATAATTTAACCAAATGTTAGGTATAAAAATTTTAGAATTGAAGACCGTGTTTATGTAATTTGTGAGATTATTGTCAGCAGGTATGGTCTGGTATAGATGGATACAGGATGATGGTGGGTATCCCATTGGGTAGTGGGTGTGGGTTGTATTTAAGAATGTATATGAATAGATGAGTGTGAATTTAAAATTTTTATCTGTCGTGTGTAATAGGTATGTGATGGATATGAAAATATTAAGTGAGCATGAGGATGAGGTATCCGCACCCGTCCCACCCATTTATCATCCCTATTTGTGAGTGATAAACAAGTGGTGAATACGAAAATATTAAGCATACATAAAGACTAGAGAAAAGATATTCTCACCCGCGCCGTCCATTTTCTATCATGTAGGTATGTCTTATACAATTCATCAATCAAAATTTCAATTATTTGTCCAAATAACTATATATCATTAAAAATGTTTGAGTGAAATCTATTTGATTTTACTTTAATTCTGTGTTGTCATTTTATTCATTAATAATATAAGAAAATTATTTATTATTAATACAGAAAACATAAATACTCTGATTAATAATTTATTTTCGTTCCCTAAGATTTTATAAGTTGGTCGTCTCTTAATATTTTAGGATTTTGTAACGTTAACATAAATCCATGCCTTTGTCACGGGTAAAATGGAACCTTTAACAATATGCAGAAAAATAAATAGAACCTTATGCGTAGGGGTATTTTTATTAATTAGCTTTGAAATTCCACCCTTTTGATAATTTTTTTATCTACTGATAAAAATGATTAAAATTCAAGTTTATTAACACAATTTGACAATTTTGTTCATTCTAAGTATAGTTTTCCTCACGTATGCCAAAGAAGACGAGAAAAGAATTGGCTTACGTTTCTAAAACTTTCCTAGTAAAATAATATAAAAAGTAACTGAATTTTACTTCATAAATTGAGTCTTTATTTCCAAAAATTATAATTAATTAAGATTTTTTAATTATAAAAATTATTTAACCTTTTGACGTCCATTTACATTGATGCGTCGGAACTTGTATACTTGGAAGTTAGAAGATACTAATTTTTTTGGAAAAAAACATATAAAAATATATTTAAAATAATTATTTAAAATTATTTATATATTCTTACATTTTTAAATTTTTTGAATTTTTATTATTTGAAGTAAAAGTAAATCTGAATTATACGTTAATTTCTTTAATAAAAACGGAAATAAAGATTTTCCAGCATATATATGTGATTACGAAATGACCTTTTTTTTTTTCTTTGCGTTTGGTTTGAAATTAACGAATGACTCCAGGAAAATAGGATAGCAACTTAGAAATTTTATTTTCTTTCTAGAAATTTACTCTTGAGTTAGGCGGGTCGGTATAGAATTTTTATACCAACAAAATTTTCATTAATTTTTGTTCTGTGGAAGACAGAAGAAATAAGAAATAATATTTCGTATAAAGTCTAAGGTATTTTTTTAAAGAAATATAATTAGTAAAGCAACGACTACATTTTGTAATTACAAGGAATTATATATATTTAGTTGATAATGTATAAGTATATATTAGTAGAGAAATTAGGAAAGAGACAATAAATTAGTGACTGATGGTGTAATTTACCCAACAAAATATTTTTAATGGGTCTAATTAAAATACGGCAAAGCGAATGTTAAATTACGTCATGTTCCATGTAAAATGACATCATCGATTTGCCTAATTTCCACTATAAATAATACCATACACTTTGTATCGGAGAATAAAGTCATAAACCCTCCAAAAGCTCCCAATAATATTAATTGATATCCCCCAAGTCTCTCTATTCATTACCTAAAAGCCTTAAAACCCTCATGTTTAAGATGGAATATGAAATAACTCCTACATCTTCTCCTGGATCACTGTCTCCGAATTCTTCGATTTCACCGTCATCATCTCCGTCCCCTCCTCCTCTTCCGACGCAGGTTGTTATCAGCCCCTGCGCCGCCTGCAAGATTTTGAGGAGAAGGTGTGCTGATAAATGTGTGTTGGCACCTTATTTTCCTCCCACTGAACCAGCCAAATTCACCATTGCTCATCGTGTGTTCGGCGCTAGCAACATTACCAAGTTATTGCAGGTACTCTTTCTTTCTTTTTCACATAAAAGTGTGAAAAATGCTAAGAGGGTATCTTATGGTTAATGCGTTGACAAATGCGGCAAAAGATATACCAATGAAAAAAGTGACTAATAACATGTTTAAATTTAAATAATTTCTTTCTCGAATTTAAATTTCGATATTTGTAGCTTTTCTTTCCCACCTACAACCTCATTACTTTGGGACAGCAATTTGAAAAGAAAGTTGCATGTGGGGATGACCCTACTCTCGGGGTATAGTCAATATGATCATTCTGCTCAAATATGCTAAACGAACGGTCTTTGTTTGGGAAAATTTTTCAGGAACTTCCCGAGTCTCAGAGAGCCCATGCGGTAAGCAGCATGGTATACGAGGCAAATGCGAGGATCCGAGACCCGGTTTACGGTTGCGCGGGGGCGATTTGCCAACTGCAGAAGCAGATCAATGAGCTCCAAGCACAGCTAGCCAAAGCTCGGGCCGAAGTAACCAATATGCAATTGCAACAAGCAAACCTCGCCGCTGTGCTCTGCATGGAGATGGCGCAATCCACTTCTCCTCAACCAAGTTCCCAGCAATCCATGGACATTTCCCTCAACCCTAGCCTCATGGAAGACAACAACAACTTTGGATCGTTATGGGAACCACTTTGGGCATGAGTTTCTGCTTCAAATTCTAAGGTCCCATGAAAACTCTCCCAAAGAGAAGTTGAAGGATTAATAATTTTAACTTAGTATTAGGGTTAAATGAAGATGTAACTATGGGGAAATTAATGTAAGTTTAGGGATCTAAATACCAAGTAGAGTTAGGAGGTGAAATTATGTACTTCAATTCTATTTCATTCCAAATTCAACATCTTTAATCCACTCAAAAGATCCCTTAGAGGATAACAATTTAAGTAGTTGTGTCTGTAGTATATGGGTACGTTATCAATTAATTAATAAAAACTCTAAATAAATTTTATATTATAATCACTCCAAATTACTAAAAAAATACTACAATTCGTATCTTTATTGATGTTAATTTTTAGTATATGTTTTAAATGACTGAAAACAAGAATAGAAATGTACGAATTAAATCGATTGATTTAACATTTAATTGGGGCAAATATTAATCCATTTCTTTCTTTTGATTAATTTTCAGTATATATTTTGAATGAGTAAAAGCAGGGATAGAAAATGCGCGAATTAAATTGATTGATTAACGTTCAATTAGGAGCAATATTAGTAATATTCTAATATCATCTTGGCCTTTTCGATACTATTTTAAGACTAAAGAAAGGAATTGTCGTGGTCAAGATATCGTATTTCTAAACACCTTTTTCCCCCCAAGTATATGTTTTAAATGACTGAAAACAAGAATAGAAATGTACGAATTAAATCGATTGATTTAACATTTAATTGGGGCAAATATTAATCCATTTCTTTCTTTTGATTAATTTTCAGTATATATTTTGAATGAGTAAAAGCAGGGATAGAAAATGCGCGAATTAAAATTGATTGATTAACGTTCAATTAGGAGCATATTAGTAATATTCTAATATCATCTTGGCCTTTTCGATACTATTTTAAGACTAAAGAAAGGAATTGTCGTGGTCAAGATATCGTATTTCTAAACACCTTTTTCCCCCCAAATATTTTAATTGGAAATCGACCTTGACTGATATTAAATTATTTTATTTAATTGTAGGAATATATGATAAGTGATTATATAAATATAATATTCTCTAGATCCCTATCAATTAGGGGATGTCTCATCCTAATATAAAATTAAGAAAAGATGATACTGAAAATATTAATATTTTTAATATTTTTGGTATAGCGTTACCTAAAATATTATTTTTTTACCGGAAATATTAATATCGGCGCTACCTAAAATGTTATTTTTTCTACTGAAAATGTTAATATCGGAAATATTCATTTTAGGTAACGAAATTAATATTTTCTGTAGAAAAAATAACATTTTAGGTAGCACTCTACTAAAAATATTAAAAAGTATTAACATTTCCGGTAACGCATTTTCTTAGTCTTATATTAGGTTGTCGTACAACAGAACTACCCATTAATTATATTTACAACTTATCATTCTATAAGAAAATGATATAATCTATGTATATCTTAAAAATGAAAAAAAAATATGATTAGACCATTTTAACATGGATCAAGTGGAATGGTTGTTATTGTTATAGATATTCGGTTCTAGCTAGCATGATATTTTTAAGATTGTTTTATCGTTGAATATTAAATGATTGATAACCTTTCGAGCATATACTAATTTGTAATTACTTCAAATTAATAAAAAATATTATAAATGAAAAAATATCTTTTAAAACATAAAAAAAATTAAACAAATTATTGATATAGTACAAGAACTATTAATAGACTTTAATATGAGATTACCCAATTTAAACTCTATTTTTAATAGAACAAGATGATACAATACATTATATGTTTATAATCTTTATTAGCCAATGAAAATATACATGCATCTTATAGACGCAACTACTCAAACTCACGACTAAAAAATAATATTTTTAAATTACGGAATTCTCTTAATAAGTTGTTGTTTAAACTCTCTAAACTATTTACATATGCATCTTCAAAAACCATTACATATAGAAGTCATTAATATTAATAGCGCGTTTTAATCATGATTAGATGTGCATTATGTTTTAAACAATTTTTAACCTTCATAAAGGGAAAATGGACAGAGAGGCACATAACAACTCACGTGCTAATGCTTTTGATTTTGCATTTTTCCCCTATATATGTACAAAGAAGTACATAACGACACACGTGCTAATGTTTTATCTTTGATTCTTTGTTTCAAAATTAATGTTCTTTTTAGATGTATATGTTTTCCAAATAACACTAGAGACCTACACTTATTTTTAAATTTTAACTCGATCAATATGTACGAATAAATTTTCAAAAAAAGTTTATGTTCTAAGTCTCTTCTAGTTTCTATACATCTGGTTTTGGTGAGTGAATCTCCCAACGGAGATTTTCTGCATATATAAAGACCTCGAACCTGAGATGTTAATTAAGCGATATCAAGATGCTTAGCACATGAATCAATCCGTTGATATCAAACTAATATTTTTATTTCAAAATATCACATTAAAGAATTTAATAAAAGAATTCTAACAATACAATTTGGATTGAAATATTTAAATATAAAAAGTAGATAAAAGAATTTAAAACATATTGTATCCTTAATTAATGCACATTTCCTTGTCAATAAAAATAAAATAAAAAACCCAAAATTCCATTTAAAAAGGGGTAGTAATTGACTTCCTAAACGCGTTTTTGGAATGATAATCCAAAACCAAATCATGTGCTTCCCACATGGGGCGATACTGGTCAAGGCTACACCACATTTTGTGTGCAACAAAGGGGAAAATAAAGAGCTTCATTTTTCACCCCCAACATGCCATTATTTCAAGGAAACATAAAGTGTTCCTTTTGACTAAAAATCTCCTCTTTTGTTTCAAAATCTAACACTTTTCTTTTCAAATAAGATGGGAGTTTTATGTCAAAGCATGTACCTACAAATTCCATGAGAACAACTCTTCAACATGACTAGTTGTTTTTGTTCCTATACCAACTAATTCCACAAGATTACATGTAGGAAAATACCAAGGTTTTTGGACCTTTTGTGCTTGTTAGACCCTTTCTACAATAAGCAATTGATGTGCTTCCAATCTTTGTTAAATTGGGGTTTTGATTACGTTACTCAATTTTGGAATATAGTTCATACTTTAATTTGATATAACATGATCTCTTTATTTCTAGGGTAAACTACTTATTTTGTCCACTCACCTATTACTTTGTTTTAGTTTATTTCGATTTTGTTCCTCATTTCCTATGGTTATTTGTACTTTACCTCTCATTTTCTATGGTTAATTATACTTTATCCTCTTGAATTGATATTCTCTGGTTTCGTTACCGTAAAGACCCAATCTCCAATTTGAGTTTAGTGAAGGTACCGAAACCATAAATTAACTAAAGAAGAAGGGGTGGAAAAGTTGGACCTTGTTTTTTCATATATATATTTGCCAACACAAATATAACATGCACGTTTCAAAAGCATGAATGATGCTGCATGTGATGGAATTTAGAGATTAATTATAGGATGAATGGTCTGCCGAATTTAAGGGCACTTGACCAATGCCCATTACATAAAAAAGCACATACACACAAAGTTCCAAAGTGATGGATAGCATATTATTGTGGTTGGTAATGAGTCATTGGGTTAATTCAATGGGATAATGCCATATGTATTTTGACAAGCTTCATGTATAGTTTTCTCCGCTGTTGGTGAACTACCCCCCGGCCGCAGCACCGGCAAGCCAGCATATGTTTCGGCTATATAGCCTTGCCTCGTTATGTAATACGACAAAAAGTAGGTTAGTTATTGGGCGTGCGGCGTGAGCACTGCTGTGCCTACAAAAAGGACCAATTTGAATTTTTATTGGTACTAAAGTTAATCTTTAGGCTACTTCAAAGAACCTTTTTCTTATGATCTTATATATAACTTTTTACTTATAGAGACAACTACCCCTAGATATCAACATAAATGAAATTATCTTAGTATGTTCAAATTGAACTTTAAATTCAAATGAAGAAAAAAACTAAAATTATAATTGATCTTTAGGGTATTGTACACAAATGATCCTCCGATTATATGGTGTTACTTTGTTGAGTCCCCCAATTATTTAAAGTTACAAAATGGTCCCATGATTATAGGACACTACTTGGTTGAGTTCATCAACTATTAAAAGCTACAAAATTGTAACATGATTATTCATATGTTCCAAAAAATCATCTTTTTTTTAAAAAAAAAATGGTAGTAACATGAGCTGGGCTATTTGAGCTGTTTGAGTTGAGATATGATAAAATCTGATCTCATAACTGTTTGACTTGTATTTAATGGATCAACTCTTCGTTTATATTATATCATCGAGTCAGTGCTTGAAAGCAACAATAGTGCCCGTAGACGTCATTAGAATTTGATTTTATCATGTCCTAGTCAACATGTTAACGTTTAGCTCAAACGACCATCATATTTTAACAGAAGATGACGAGTTTAGAACATATGAATAGTCAAGTGATCATTGTGTAACTTTTAATAATCAATGAGTCATTTTATAACTTTTAATAGTTAGGGTACTCAAAAAATTAGTACCCTATAATCGAAAGATCATTTGTATATTTTAGCCTAATCGTTATGATCTATTTGATTTAAATCAATTAATCGTTGCAAATTGGGCTGTTGAATTTGTTTATTGCATGTGAGCCGCAAAGAAGACTCACATTTCTGGTTCTTTCTGGCTCAATAGGACATGCGCCAGAATTAGTTGTTCCTATAAGTTATAATAGAATTTATTTTGTAAACCACGGTAAAAGCTACGGTGCATGGCAAATTCATCTTGTCGACAAGTTTACCCAAAAAGTTAATGAACATAGGTGAGTGAGTTTCATGTGGGTCAATATTATAATATATTTCTAAAGCCTCATCGCGACGAGTCTAGTGAAAAGTAATTTTATTAAATTCAATAATTAATTTAAAAATTAACAAATAAAACTTTATAACTCATCACGTCAAGGTGATGAATTCCTCTAGAATTTAAAATAAACTAGTTGTTGGGCAACGAGCAGCTTTTGAATTTTAAAAAATACAATCGTTGAAACTCGTTACATAGACGTGATGAGTTTCGTCGTATTTATTTTAAAAATATAATTTTAAAAACGATTCAATAAAAATAAT